CAGCACGTGGACTGCGAGCCGGATATGGCGCTATGCCTAGGGGCGTCCCCGGCAGCGCCAGCTATATGCACCTTATTCCTCCTCCAGGTGGAGGGGTGAGTGTGTTAGGAGCAGCGCAAATGTTCTCTCATTATAAAGAAGTTCATGCGCAAGTTACCATCCTTGTGCCACTTTGTTGTAGTGGTGCATGCGGTGGACTTCTTCCTATACGACGGTCGCCAGGGTAAGCATTCGTTATCGGGCTAGGAAGATCTGAGAAGCATTCGTTGCCTACAGGAGAATAAACCTAAAGCACGTACTTAATTTATGCCCAAACAATCATGTGATGGTGATGATGATGTAGGCTATGAAAATATGAAGCCAACGTTTCTCGTGAAGTTTGCATTAAAATGGACAAGGGGCACCCTCACGTAGCTCGTGAAGCCCCCAAATGCGAGAGGAGGCCAGGAATTGAGTTCGTTTAATGACGTAAACATTCCAGCTGGCATTTCTGAAGTCTGCTAAGCGCAAAGTAAGAGTTAATCAATGAAATTACACTCAAAACACCTTCATTGCCGAAGGTTACATATTAAATACTAAACAATAATTAATTACGTTAATGATATCACATATTGCTTCTTCTTTTAAGGTATGGAAATACTCAGAAAAGGTAGGAAAAGGCCAGCTTGTGTTTCATTTTACCATAAAAAGATGTCTTCTTACGAACTTTCAAGAAATCAGGCTTGAGTATGTTAGGCCAGGTGTGATCAGCAGGAACCCTCTATGTTGTGGTTTGCGCAGACACGGCCAGTTTAAGTCATGCCACTCACAAATCAAAGTCTCATTAGCTTGTTGTGGTTTTTCCCCGGGTCATAACGTGTCTAATAAATTCGATATCGTGCACATTTTTTTCACCTGCTGGTCACCCTCCACCTGGCCTCATCAGCCCCTACGTTCCCCCTTTAAATTGTTTATGCTTTTAACATATTGGCTACCTAAATCGGCATTTGGACTTTCAATGTTTGCTAATTCGCGTACATGCTCATGTAGCCGTCCACTGACTTTTCGCACGATCATCAGTAATTTGGAGTCATGAGTTAAGTTACAGTACAAAAACGAATAGGCCTACAGTTCCGATTGGTTCATGAAAAATTTAAAATTCTCTTTGGCTCCAGCCTCACCTATGATGTTCGTGGTGATACTTTCGATAGCTGATGGACACAGGAACCACCATGGGCAGATTAGCGACTAATGAGAGGAGGCGATTAGCGTTCCCGCGGTTGTGTCCAAAGGCCAGGTTGTGCCCGATCTCATGGATTGCTGCGGCCAAAGAGTGGTTGATGGTACCACCAACGATGTAGGTAACTAAGAACCACGTCAGCCAGTCGGGCTTGTAAACTGAGATTGCAACGGCCAGACCCAGCTGGATGAACACTTCAATGAGGACGTAGTAGGTAATGGTGGGATCGCAACCCATCAACTTCTTGATTTCCGGATGCTTCTTCAGGATCTCCTAGGAGTTAACGGTATGAACAACTAGTTAGAAAGAGCAGATATATATGTAGATGAGAGGTGGTATGTAGGTCGAGCGATGTAATGAAAAAAGGGAAAAGTTCAGCCTGAAAAATCAATTTGTACTTGTAAACTTTCGACCTGTGTGACACACAGCCCGTCGGCAAACTAAAAATAAAGGACGTGAGAAAGTAAAAGATCGCACTAGACAGTTTAAAATGATGGGACAGCTAGACAACTGGCGTGTGAGTGGGGGGCGTGTTTATGTGAACTAGTGTGACCTTCTTACTTTCTCAATTCCTTCTTACTTCGTTGGATGACGGGTTGGTGTCACCAGCTCAAAAATTCGCAAGTGCAACTTGACTTTTCCGAAGACTTTCTTCCCCTTTTCATGCATATATGCATGTATGCATGCATGCATGCATGCATGTACTTTAATAAGCACATGCTTGTATACGGTTTCTGAATGAGGACCCACAAAGTAGGTATGTGAACGAGTACCTGTTCAATTAGGGTGTGCTAAAAGCCGTGGCTTAGGAGGTTGCCAATTGAAGGGGTAACGCTGACCCCGTAGTCAGCCAAGTGTGTTCGTGTGGAGGGGCTGACTGACAGACTAAGAAGCAGGCTGCAGTGGCTCCTTCTCAATGTGGCCTTTAGTGAATTCCTAACAAGAGCCGGGTTGTGTTAATGCAAATTCCTGCCAAGTTTAGCCTGTGCCCAGGTGGCGTATGATGGGGGCTACAGAGGCGCAGGCTGTGTGAACTAGGATCTATGCCACCGCTTCCATTATTTTGCTGTCGTGTTAAAATTCTGGTCAGGTGTTTGTTATGACCAAAAGGCCGTGGTGGTAGGCTTAGGCGTGGAGTTTGCCATGCAGAACACCTGCACCTGGTTCTGTCTTGACATCGAGGACATAAATGCAAAGCAAACCTACTATTATTTATAACGAATCCACACACTAAGTCATCGTGCGTTGACCACCAGTCTGTAGAGCACGCGATATATATCGTCTGAATCGAACCGTGGACAGGCTTTACAGACTTTCATTGTAACATGAACGGCTTTTCTTCGAAAAATGTTCTCCCTCTTCCTTTTTCATCTCACAATGTGCATCCACATTTAAGACCAACAGCTCATGCTGTATTTATTTATCACAGTTCAGCATTCTTAATCGTTACTTAATTGGACAATTTGTTTTATCATCTCAATACACAAGAACCGTGTGCAGTTGCATAAGAGGTCACGAAATTGTAGGGTATCACTAACTTCCGTGAGCTGTGGATAGTTCTATTTAAATCCTCGTCACTAACTCCCCTACTAAAAGTACGTTAGATAACGATGACCACGGCTAGAGAGAAATTTTATCGAACGGGAATGGACGAGACGTCGAAGCACCAATCAAAAACTGTTTCAGCTAGTTTGTCACGCAATTGGTGCATTTCGGTGCGCTGATCGTATACCCACTGACTAGCCAGTACCAGTCGATCATACCTAGTCTCAGATTTAATTAGCCCGACTAACAGGTCAGACTAGGCATTCGAGCCCCCTTTTACATGTTCGTACGTCTTTATCTATCACAAAGCGTCACCATTCGCTTGCCTACTAAAACGCGAGCTTAAGGCACAAAGCACAAATCGCAGCCGTACAGTAGACCGCTTAACTCATTATATGTTTAGATCTAAACTTGAGGGTGTGATATAACATGTATTTGACATTGTTTATTTGGTTGACCAAATTGACTTGAGGTGGAAAATTTTGGTTAATAGGAAAGAGTTCAGTTTAGGTTAGTACGTTGAAGCGAAATAGGTGCAGAATTTGGCAAAATCCGAAGCTTCTTGATAGCTAAGGAATTCCCTATGCTATTAATAGCTGCAGATAAAAACTACCTGATTATGTGTGTTGTGATATAAAGGAACCTTAATATGAGTGGAAAAGTTTTAACTACATCTTTTCAGAGAACGGAAACTTTCGTTTTACCTTCATGAAAAGCAGGCAAATGTAAGTAGGACAAATGGCATTGTTTTCGGGAAAAGGAGAGTGGATTCTGTTTCAAATATTGTGCTTTTTAAATCTACTAGGTTTTATGTCATGAAAGTAGCCCGCTGTAGTCTGTTTTACTATACCGTAAACAAGCATTTATATGAATAACCGCGAAATGCGAGCAAATGATTATCAGTTTTTGCAAAATCTTGGTATATATATTCTCCACACTATTGTGCATTTGCAATCGTACAACGATGTCTGGGTGTAAATATACCGAAAACAGCTCCAGTATATTTAGAAAAGTGTTTGCTTTTAGCATCAGCAGCAGATGTATGCCTAATTTTCAGCCAAGTCAAAAAATGGTCGGACGCTCTAATTTTAATATTACTTGATAAGCTACAGTATATTTTATTTTTATTAAGATGCTTACTTTCCTGCTGTAAAACTTTGTGAAACGCAAATACAACTGTTTTTGTACACCAGTGATTTTCTTGTAGAAACCCCTGGATTTCATAAAGTAGGATAGCTACTGTAACTGACCAAATGAGTACTATAAAGTGCACTTTTATATTCTGTCAGGTCTAGCGTTAACTGGAAAAAGCCTGCTTTCCAATAAAGTCCTTCGATTTGCCTACTGTAAAGTTGATTGCTGCCCACGGTCCAAGTCAAGATGTTGCTTTCTATCGATCATGCGATAAAAGTACTTCATTATTTGTGTAGATCCTTACACTGGTAACCAAATTTTGGTGAGACCTTTTCATTTGCAATTTGCGGACACCGATTTACCTCCCATAAAGACAAACGATTTCTGTTCACGAAGGCGCAATAACCGAAGTCGTCTTGAAATGCTGACAAGCATAGATCACGATCATCCATTATACCATTACTATTTGCAAACTTAATTAGGATAAATAAAGCTCCCATGCGAAGTTTTCACTTTCGCCTGCACAGAGGTATGATTACATATTAAGAGGTGCATAGTTCGTCGTACTCTCTTGTGTGAATACCTCTACGACCTAAATTCAGGTAGACGCGTGAAAATGATTAAATCATTTTTTTAGCAGAACCAGGGACTTTGTCATCAAAATTAATTAAAAAGAATAAGTAAATGTTGTAAGTAAGCTGTATGGAAATAATAGGCGGGGGTTTAGATGTATAATCGAGAAGTATTGCTAACTGGGAGATCTTGGTTTCTAGCACATTACACTGCCAAGACAAATCTCTCGTGGATGGCGGTAAGGACAAATTTAGTGGATGGTTAACTAGGCGACGCTGCACACGTCCCGAACTCTAATATGCGGCTTTCTGCTTAGCCGTTCTAACCTCTCCGCATGCCA